TGATCCCAGAGGTAATATTCAAGACCCATCCTAGATGCCTTGTGGCTGCTGTGCGGCTTTTAAATTAAAATTCTGCTGCAACTGTGTGACTTTCCAGGCAGCCTTTGTTAACTGGAATGTGGTTAATCTAGATTCTAGACTCAAAATAAAGGGAAACTTGAGGGAAATCAAGTTGAAGGTGGATAGATGGTTGCTTGGCAACCCTGATGCCTCTTGCTTCCAGATTTAACAGGAAACATTAGAATTGCATAGCCGGCACTCAAGGGCTATATACTTGACTTACTTTAATAATAGTATGAATTTAAAACAAAAAAAATAGTTAAATTTCACTGATAGTTCTGGGTTGAAAAGGAATAAGGCCATATTTTAATTTAATATTCAGAATCAATAGCAGTCATCTCTTTATACATATATTACATAAGTAAATATTCTAAGGTGCAAAAATGTTCTGAATTCCCTCCCCCTCCCCCCCCTCTCTTTCTCTCTCTCCATCTTATTTTCTTACTGGAATCTGTGATGCATAAAACTGTCTGAGAAGATTTGCAAGACCTTTAAAGAAACCCATTCATTCTGTTTTCTTAGAAATGACAATTTGAATTGGAAACAAATGCAGTAGTTACAACCTAATTTCATTGGCACTGATAACAATTTATTAATTGGGATGGATTTGTTATGCACAAAATATCGTAGTTTTCCTTTAATTTATCATTAGTGTCTTTATGTAACATGTTCCTTATTGATGCTTTCCGACTTCCTTTATAACATATTGCATTTAATTACATGTATAGGTAGTCCTCGAGTTACGACCATAATTGAGCCCAAAATTTATGTTGTTAAGTGAAACATTTGTTAAGTGAGTTTGCCCCATTTTACAACTTTTCTTGCCACTTCTTGTTAAGTCATTGCATTTGTTAAGTTAGTTAGTTACAAGGTTGTTAAGTGAATCTGGATTCCCCATTGACTTTGCTTGTCAGAAGGTTGCAAAAGCAGATCACATGACTCAAGGACACTGCAGTGGTCATAAATATGAACTAGTTGCCACGCATGTGATCATCGGAAGTTGCAATGGTCATAAGTGTGAAAAACGGTCATACGTCAGTTTCTTCAGTCCGTTGTAACTAAATGAACTGTTGTAAGTCAAGGACTACCTGAGCAGTATACTGTAGTATGATATATAAGTATTGAATATTCAATGAAACTTCTTGAATTTGGATTTACCAGGGTTTTAATTTTCATTATTTCAGCTGTGTGATTAATGATACAAAGGACACTTTTTTTTTTGTTATTCAAAAAATAAGAGCAGAACTCACTTTTTAACTTTTTCCCTTTTTCAATCCTTTCCCCCAACTTTTCTGTTACTTTGTATTTTACTTCTCTCTTAAAATTAATAATAATTTAAAAAGGTAAGAACAATATAAATTTAAAAAGGTAAGAACAAGAACTTAAGGCTCCTCTGTGGAGTATACTGTATATTTATTTAATCAGGGTAGATTTGGAGTCTAGCACAGGGGTCTTCAAACTTGACAGCTTTAAGACTCATGGACTTCAACTCCCAGAGTTCCTCCTCCAGTCATGTTAGCTCAGGAATTCTGGGAGTTGAAGTCCACAAGTCTTAAAATTGCCAAGTTTGAAGACCCTTGGTCAAGGAACTCCTCAGATTGCACAATAGGTCTCTCTAGGGTGGTATAACACCATCCAGCACCAAAAATGACATAATCCTGGAACCAGTGGGCCCTCAAAACCAGAGTCACTCAGTCTTGTCCAGGGTTCAGATGAAGCCTGTTGTTCCCTATCCAGACTTTCTCTAGCACAATGCTCCTTCCTTCTCCTATTTTCTCCACAACTCAACACAACCTGTGAGGTAAATTGGGCTGAGAGAGAGAGTGACTGGTCCAAAGTGACCCAGTTGGCTTTCATGCCCAAGGCTGGACTATAAACGTGGTCTCCATGTTTTTAACTTGGTGCCTTAATCACTAGGCCACACTGGCTTCTGTTACTACTTGGCAACCTCCTTTTCTTCATGTGAGCCAGAGAGGGTGAAGCTTCCGTACAGTGAGAATAGAAAGGAAATGTGCAGCGGGGGGAGGGATGTTAAAACCCTAGCATAGAACCACGAAGGTGTGTGTGTAATCTAAGGAAGTGAATAGAAAACAGGGTGAAAGACTCCAACATTTCATGGAAACTTTGTGTCTTGAGGTGGGCAAATAGGGAAAGGATAGTGGGAAGGGTAAATTGGTGAGAAATGTGAGGAACAGTAGGTCTGGGTGTCTTCTGTAGCTTCCATTGAGCTATAAAAAGGGAGGTAACCTAAAAAGTGAAGGGTTATGTCTCACTTTTGCACATTTGCAATGTTATATCAATATTTTCATTTGGATAAATAACTAGCATAGATCAACCTTATTTTCCCCTTTCGTATATCTATTTTTAAGGAGAAAATAGGAGTGAATTAATGACAATTACAGATGAGACCAAGCTTGGAACACTATTAAAACTAAAGCTCAGGAAACCATACATTGCAAAGTGAACAATCTCAGGAACTGGGCTAATACAATGGAAACTGGTAGTGCAAAGTTGTGTCTTTGAAAACATTTCTCAGGGTTAGTTTATGTTATATAAAGCATAGATAGTCCTCGACTTACGACTGTAACGCAGCCGGTAATTTCAGTTGTAAGACATGAAAGTCGTAAGTGGAGGCACCCACGTGACTGGCCCAATTTTATGATCTTTATTGCAGCTATCATTAAGCAATCATTCATGACTGTCACAGTCATTATGTGAGACAATGCAATAATCAGCCTTAAAAGTGATCTGATTGTCAACTGCTCAAATTGCAATCATGTGATGAGGGAGGAATGAATGAAGTTATAAATATCTTTTGGGGGAGGGGTCTGTAACTTCAAATGGTTGCTAAGTGTCCAGTCATTAAGAAAGAACTACCAGTATAGTACTACCAGATCTGACTATGTAAAGGTTGGAAGGTGGAAAAAAATTATTTATATATTTAAATTTCTTCTGCTGACATCCCGTGGTTGGCTGGATTTTTGCAGACCAAACTTGGTAGTCCTAATAAATATGTGAAGAGTTGTGTATGTATTGTAGGGAGAACAAGATGTTTTAACTGGTTGGTATGTATGTGAGCTAACAGCCATGTTGTTGAGCTACCTTATGGTTGATGAATAATGAGTTTATAAACTCGACAAATTCTGACTTCAGTAAACTATGGATGAACAAACAAAGGTTTTTATATTGTAAGCCAACAGTGTTCTGAACCTGATTGCCTAGAGAAATTTAAGTATTGTATGAACCTCAATTTTAGTAAGTACTGTAGTCAGTTAAAAAGTTGACCAAAGGTACATCAAACAGGTGACCTTGAAAACTGGCTATACTCAGAAGATTGAAATAGGAATTTGCGCTTCCCTAAATGCAAAGTCTCTAGACAAGTGGGCTGTTGGCAGGAAAAAACAGCTGAAGGAAAGTCTAAGATAAGATAACTACAGCTTTCTACTCTTGGGGTCCAACATTCTTTATCTTGCAGGCCTCCTGCTATTTCCCCCCCCCCCCCCCCCCCCTTCCCCCCCCCCCCCCCCCAGCTAAACCACTTCCTCTCCTGCTGGCATACATATTGCCCTTGATTTAAACCTCCAGCAAGTGCCAGGGTGAAACTAATGTATTGAACAGTTTGCCACCCTGTATCTCCACTTTGCATTTCCTTATTCAGAGCAGGGAAAGGGTTCTGTAATACAATTCCAGGGTTCTGTAACACAAATTATTGTGTGAATGTTCAGGACAGTTTTAGTCCACCTAGTAACTTGCAAGTGGATTAATCCATAATTTTCATCCGCATAGGATGGGGGAATATTGCGCCAGGGAAATTGATCCCCGTTTAATAAGCTGGCGTTGCAAAATGGCAAAAGGAGGGTCTGATCTGCATCTTTAGAAAATTATTTATTGGGCAGGAAAAAGTAACCATGAGATCTGAACAGCTTTAGAGGACAAGAGAAAAGGAGAGAAGAACAATATAGGGAGTCCTTCACTTATGGCCACAATTGAGCCTAAAGTTTCCATTGATGAGCAAGGCAGATGTTAAGTGAATTTTGCTCCATTTCAGAACCTTGTTTACCATAGTTCTTACATGAATAATGTCATTAAGCAAATCTGGGTTCTCCTGTTGACTTTGTTTGTTGAAAGCTGGTTGGGAAGGTTACAAATGGTGATCACACAAACCTGGGACAGTGTAACTGTCCTAAATACATGCAGAGTCCAAAATTTGATCCTGTGACCACAAGGGTGCTGCAGTAGTTATTAAGTGTGGAAACCGATCATGTCAGTTTTTCAATGCTGTTGTAATTTTGAACAGTTACTACATGAATGGTTGTAAGTCGAGGACTACCAGTAGTAAGTATAAATGGAATTATTATCTAAAGAAGCTTTAGGCTTCAAGAAAGGCAGAGAATCTTTGATCCATCAATGGGGCTTCAGAAAAAGAACAGAAGTTTCAAAGATGGGAGGGGAAATAGTATCTTTTCCAGGTAGTTTGCTATAACAGAAAAAGGAAATAAAGTGGTGAAGATTTAAAGGGATATAAAATGAAGTCAAAAAGATCTTATGATACCAATAAATGCCCATTCAAAACTAAATTTGCTGGATGCCAAGAAGTAGCTTAAAGCTCAGTCCTACGTATCCCTTAATATATGTGTCATATTACTTTTTTCCTATTTTATTTGATTTTTATCTATCTCATTTGTTCTTTCTCTCATTTTATTAATCTCATTTTTTAAATTTTTTATATTGGTCTTTGACTTATAAATTAAAAAAATAATAATGAAATAAGTTACTTAAAACAGCTACAATAGACAGATGACCCAAATAACAAAACAAAACCATTCCTAGTCAGTTCATTTCACATGGTTTACCATTACTTTATATTTCTGTAATGTTCTGTAGGAAATTCAGAGCATATTAACAAAATAATGACTTTTTCCCCGCTCTGATGTTTCAAGGAACATCCCATCAAGGCGGCTATTCCCACGAGGCAGTGGTATACGCGCTTCAGAAATGTGGCATTCGTCATATCGACACGGCAAAACGATATGGCTGTGAATCGCTCCTGCAGAAGGCTATCAAAGAGAGTGGAATTGCACGGGAGGATCTCTGGATAACAACCAAACTCTGGCATGCTGACTATGGCTATGACAAAACAAAACAAGCCTGCTTGGAATCTTGCAACAGACTTGGGGTGGAATATCTAGGTATGAAGCTGGCTTTTGTTTGTTTTTTTATTCCTGTTCAGATTATTATAGTCATAAATCTTGGTGCACGTTTAATATATTGCATCACCTGTAACAACATGCTTTTATGATTGCTCTGGATCACAAATAAGAATTTTTAATAGGGAGATTATTCCTTTAGATTCTTTAGCTAATCTCTTTAGCATAGGAAAGAAAACATATCATAACAAGGATTAGAAGGTTATTAAGATAATTTGTCTCCTTAGCTTTGAATGATTGATTATGTGCCATCAAGTTGGTGTCAGTTCTTAGTGACTTAACATAGATTTTCTCTTGAATGATCTATTCCCCAACTGCTCCTTCAGGTGCAGCCATTGCTGCTGTATCCATTGATGTTGTAATTGAGTCAATCTTTCCCAACATTATAGACTTCTCTAAAGAGCTAGGTCTTCACATAATATGAAAATTGAAGCCTGATCATTTGTGCCTTGACAAAGACTCTGAGTCAATTTGTTCAATTATCCATTTCTTTTTTTGGGGGGTGGGTGGGTGGGTTGGCTATTCATGATTATTTATTCTCAGAACTCTTCTCCAGTGCCAACATGAAAAAGTCTCACTAATTTTTCTATCCTGCTTAATCTTAATATTGATGAAATTGCAGTACTCTTAAAGCACTCCCCCTTTTAAGTTAAAGCAGAAAGGAACAATTCAGAAAAAGGGTCATGTGATCTGCATTTCTTACCTTAAATCAGGGGGCCCCAACAGATTTATCCCCACTAACTGGGCCATGGCTTGTTTGGAACAGGGCCTTGTGAGCGGCTGGCTGGCACACGCACACACGTGAGCAGCGGGCCAACACACATGCTCAAAGTTTGAGTTTTGTGAGCAGCAGCTGGTGTGCATGTGCGCAGCTTGAGTTACATGAACGGCGGGGTGGTGTCCCTCTCCCCTCCCCTGGGCTGCCAAGCAGTGAATGTTGGGAATGCTGCCTTAAATGATTGCTGCTGTTAATAGTAATGTTATTAGTGATGTTATCTGCTATAGATCTTAAACCAGCATTTAGCTGCTTGCTGTCATAAGATCTCTATAGAACCTAGAATAAGTTTAGTCTTAGCACCATTTAATAGGACTAATTTGTACTGATCTGTTTTTCTTAATTTTTCTTACAAATAGGGAACCTCAAACTTAAACCTAGAAAGATTCTGATGAGACTTAGTGGTGCACCCATAAATTGTATAATTAATCTGTTGCAAACAATTCCTTATCCCCTTGTTACAACATTGTGATTAATTTGCTTGAGGAAAAAGTCACACTTGATACAAACATTCTTAGCATCCCTAGTTTGCATCAGAAATCAGTATGGATGAAATCCTTCCCCAAGGAAAATCAACATTTTAGTTGGTTCAGATTGGACCCTTAAGCCAATATGTTTTGACATAGTATAAGCATTGTGATGACAGTTTGTGGCTTAGCATGTTTTGTGAGTACAGCCAGAAATTCAACCCCTGCCACTGTAAAGCAAGAAAGCCATAGTTTAGAACAAGGGTGTCAAACTCGCGTCGTCACGGTGGCGTCACATGACATATTGGGACTTTTTTCCCCTTAGCTAAACTGGGCGGGGGTGGGGCCAGCACATGACACATCCAGCCTGCGGGCCACGAGTTTGATGCCCCTGGCTTAGAATTATTAGGAGATTTTCTTCATTAAGAATTAGGAAGAACTGCAGAAAGACATTACGTCTCCCAAACTCCTTCTAAAAAGAAACAGGAACCAGAGAAAGGAAGCATTAACTCATGCCTTTTCTATGTTTGTGTGCATTAGATGCATTAAACTAGTTACAGATAGCCTAGTCATCTGGTTTTGATTCAAACCGAAGTAGGGTCTTGAAATATTCTTCTCCTTGAATTAATGCTTTTTGTCATGCTAAATGGGTTTATTGAAAGTTTCCTTTGCATTCAGAAAAGGATGCTGAATTAGTACTGGGTTTCTCTTCTGTCACAAATACTGAAGAATATTCTCATAAGCAAAGAACTAATGATTAAATACTGTCTCAACAAACTGTTTTATTTTTCTTTCCTATCTTTTAGTTTCTCTAGAGTTTTTTTGTCTTTGTTCTTTTGTTTTAATTTGGTTCCTAGTGCTGAATACTTCACAAAGGAAGATTGGCCCGACAAATTACATACCAATAAGAAATTGAAAATGTGCCAGATTGTGGGAGCAGTATTCTAACATTTGTTTTCATTTTTTTTATTAAACTATATGATTTTTCACAGTTGTTATAATCTGGCTTTAGGCGTTCATTGACAAACATTGGAAACAAATAAAATGGATTTAGAGGTTGGATTTAGAGTTTGCATTCCTTGAGATCTGGACTCATGATGTCATGATAACATCTCTTTACCCCTATATCAGAGGTGTCAAACTCATGTTGTCATGGTGGCATCACGTGACATATCGGGACTTTCCCCCGCTTCTCTAAACCAGGTGTGAGCGTGGCCAGTGTGATGCATCTGGCCCATGGGCTGGGAGTTTGACAGTCCTGTCTTACATCATCCTTTTTTGCTGAATATATAAATGGTGATATTCTCTTCCATGCATGTTTTTCTGTTCCTTAATAACCTTACCTTTTATTGGGCTGGGAATTCTGATGGAATTGCAGATATTAGTTCTACTAACTAAAATGCTGATAGGCTTGCATTTTGAATGAAGATGAACTTCTCTTCTAAGCCCTGACAATGCCTGGAGAATAAGCAGTCACTGAAAATTAATGAGATACCAAGGGCAGCTTGAGAAGGCAGATTACCAGGTTGAAAATCTATGTACAATGAAATATTTATTTTTGTTTGTTTATTTCTGTTTGTTTGTTTATAGACATCCTAACTTAAAATTCCTATTTTTCCCTTGCGTAACTTCATTTTGATTATCTACACTGAATAGAAATGTAAAATTCAAGAAACTGGTTTCATTGGCAGGTGTTTGGTAGGAAACTGTTGTGCTAAGCTAAAAGTACATATAATACAACATAATTTTTTTTCTTTACAATGCTTAGTATCAGTAACAAAGAATATTTGCAGCTTATTGCTCATTTAAATCCTGCTGATGTCACTAAGAAGATTAATATAATTCCCAGTGATTTTAAAGATATGTGATACATGTTTAAAACAATTCCCATGGGAATTGCTGATCTATAAACATGCAAGAAACAACATAATTAAGCTCAAATGTCAACACAGTAGCACATACAGTCAACTGTTCTTGAAAACAATCTGCAAAACAGAAATAATGTGATACTGTTTAGTGATACCATACTGGAAACAAGCTTTGTTTTAAGTTCTTTTATGTGTACTCTGAATGGCATATCATACCAATCTTTTTCCTAAAATGACTTTTCAAATTAAGATGATGTTCAAGATGCATTTCATGCTAGAATATATCAGCTTTTCTAATTTTAATTCATTTGCGTGTTAAGCATGCAGGCCCCGTAAGAGTAGAATAACAGAATTGGAAATCTTCCAGTCTAACCCCCTGCTCAAGCAGGAACCCTGTAACATTTCAGACGAATGGTTGTCTAAAGCAGTGATCCCCAACCTTTTTTATGCCGCGGCCCGGTACCGGCATCAGCTGGGCACCGCGGCCCGGTACCGGCATCAGCTGGGCGCCGCGGCCCGGTACCGGCATCAGCTGGGCGCCGCCATCTTTTTTTGATGAAAAAGTGCTTCTGGTGAGCTTTCTACCCGGAAAAGCTCACCGGAAGCACTTTTTTTGATGAATGATGAAGATGGCGGCACCCAGCAACCAGCGGCCCAGTAGGACTTGTTCCGCGGACCGGTACCGGTCTGCGGACCGGTGGTTGGGGACCCCTGGTCTAAAGCATATCTCCTAAGCACATTTGGCATGGGACATAAAGGTTTATTTTTCATGCAGCTTGTTCTCTTGCATGGTAATTGCATAAACTTTATATTTGGTGTGTGTGTGGAGAAATGCTATATTTGCAATTTGCAATGAGGTCGAAGTTCACCGTCTATAGTTTGCTAAGGAGGATTTGTTATGGCCATTTTTTAAAATGCTGCATAATAACCTGGCATAACTTACAACATAACAAGTTATAATTATCCTATCAGTTACACATCAGAGTACAGGCATCTTAATAAGCTTTTTGATTTTACTTTTTGCCTGGGCCTTACACAAAAGAGGAGGAAAAGTTGAAAATCACAATGAACATTATATGGTTGACCACAATTACCTTAGTAGGTTAAAATTATATAGCCTGCTGTATAAATGCTACATAAATTATACCACCCACAAATATTCTCGTGACTGCTACAATACTCGGACACGGAGTTTTTTAAACAAAAAAATCAAATGACTCAAGCATAGCTTGAAGCTATATTTGTACATGGCTACCCTTAGCAGAGCTATTTTTGTGAGAATCTAGAAAAGTGGTTTTCCTGGATATTAAGATGGGACATGAGAATTAGAATTGTATAAACAAGACTTTGTGCTATATGTTCTGCATACATCATTAGGCTGGTTGGTTAATGAAAAGTATAAATGGAATAGGTTTGTTTGTTTGTTTGTTCGTTTAGATCTTTATTTAATACATTGGCCAGATGCACAAGTTCCTGGAAAAAGCAGTCGAGAAGTCAGGGCAGAAACTTGGCATGCCATGGAAGAATTGTATGAGAAAGGTAAGATGATTTCTGTAATGCATTTCAGTTTTCCACATGAAATTTTCAAATAAGTTTTATTTTACCCTATTGTTCGATTTGTAATTTATCTGAATTCTGTTATTGATCCTCAATCTTGGGAATATCACTGAATAAGTACTTGATTTGCAGATTTCTTTTTTGAGCTCATTGTTCTTATAAAGCATCTGAATTGAAATTGTGGGAAAGCTTGCACATTTTTCTTTTTGGTCAGGCGTTCATCGGGTGAACAGTAATGGCATAAAAATGAAGTGCATGCAATGAGGTGGCAGGTATGAGAAGAAACCTCTTTTCACTATTAGCTGTCTCTCCTCCTATCCCTAATTCCTTTAAAAGGGCAGAAGCTTGGTTTCATCCGTCACATAAAAGCTTTGACATGTATCAGTGTATGACTTCAGTACTGAGCATTTTATATTAGATATAAAAACAAAGATCCGTGACTTATTTTCAACTACTTACCCATCAATCCCAAGAGGAAAAATTATGGTTTCAGTTTTATGTTAATCTTTAAAATCGTCTAAATCAGTGGCTGCATTTATAACCCAAAATTTCTAGCTTCAGTGTAACCCATTCTCACATCTTCTGCTACTGGCTATAGATATCATTGATCTTTTTTGTCAATAAATATACTGCATGCTTTTAGTATTCTTGTGCTTCCCATGGAAAAGTATTTTGGGACAAAAGAGGACAACCTCAGTAATTATTTTCCCATCTTTGCATATGCCCTTTGAAACAAAGAGATGAATACAAAACAGCTGACCTGGATTTTAT